CAGCACCTCAGAAGACTAAATACTAGTGAAACGTGATACAGAAGTGAAGCCAATAAACAAAAATAAGACCAATCAGTATAGCACTTTTCAAATGTCTCAGTTCTTCAAATTAAAACAACCATATTTTCTATTTTCAGAGTTTCCAAGGTAACAAATAAGCTTTTTAAAAGCATTTAAGCCTTTTTATCTAACTATAGATTAAATCAGAGTTATTGCTCTGTTTAGAAGCAACCCGAATTTGGCACTAGAAACTAGCAGCACTTTAGAAACTAGAGTACTTCTAAACAAAATTGGCTTTTGGTGTTAATGTATAACTTTGATTTGCCAAAGTTGCATCCATTTATATTCAAAAGGCAACATGAAAAAGAACTACATAGGTATATGTTTTCTAGATTTTTCCTTCAACTGAAGGAAAAATCTCCCTTTTAGGCTAAACCTAGAATTTTTCAGAAGATGAAGCTGTGCACTCTTAACAGACAAGGCTCTAACCGAAGTCTGCGTGCCTTTTTTTTTTCTTTTTTAGAACCCTTACAATAGAGCCTTACAGAAAAGATTTTACAAAATGTTTACTAAGGCTTTCAACAATGGGTGAAAGCAAGGTAACTTGATGGCTTCGTTCTCATCAGAACAGCTTACTGATCAAGCAGGAATTTTGCAGGATTGCTATGATCTGTACAGACTGACAGCAGCTATGCATAACATACCCCAGCATCATTGAATGCAATTACAGAATGCTCAAAAGAAATTCAATGGTGGTAGCATGATTTTGGGGGAGCGGGTGCCTGCAAGTTGTTTCTGCACTAGGGATGGTGCTACTGTACACATGTAGATATGCCACATGCTAATTTCACCTCTTACAACAGCAGTAGATATACTTTAACTTACAATCCTTTGTTTTGTAACCCTTGTGATCAATACCTGGATATACGTACTTAAATAACACATGGTAGAGCCTTCAAAATTAAGGCTAAGATAGTCTTAGAAGTTATTTGGCTTCCCCTTCAGAGGGCCACACAGACTGGAAAATTGCAAGCTTAACATATACTTAACAGATACTTAACATATCTCTCCTCAGTGTATTAGTACTCATAAATCAAGGTACGGTTTAGCTATTAACAATACTTAAATGCTGGTGCCTCAGACTGCTCTTACTTTAAGTGTTAAAGTTTTCACATAGCTGAACGCCTGTAACTAATTTTCCTAGAAAATTAGAACCTTCCACAGATTTTGGGTCAAAAATTGTCACCTCCTATGTGAGAAAGGGGAAAACAACTCACTTTTCAGAGCAGAATACTTTAAAAAAGCAAAAAAAAATCAAAGAAGAAACAAGAAACTCGCACAGAGCTCACAGGCCTAGATCTCAGTCCTCATGGGGTCTGCAGAAGGCATCCTGCCTGAGCTCTCAGGAAGAGTACAAGTCTTGCTTCCTCCCTTAAAGCCAAAGTCTATCATTCTACTGTGGCTAGAGCTTTCCATTTAACCTGAAGCAGACAACTCCTTCGGTTTAGAGCCCAGTGGTAACAGTTTGAATTAAATACATGGAGTCACTTGAATCACAAAGACCCTCTGAGAAGCAGGAAGGTATTTTTGAGTCAAGAATATATATTCATAAAAAGATAAACAGATCAGCTATGACAAGAAATAATTTGTACATAAGGATGCAGCTACTGAAGCAGAGACTGCCCCAAGTCCTCTACATAACACTTTTAAGAAATAAAACCTTTTTCTGACAATGCCGCAAATAGTACACCAAAAATCACACTTACTGTTTTAGACACATTGCACACCATCTCAATCATACTGTTTTTTCCTTCACTCTCCCCAAAAACACCGAGTCTCCCAGTGGCTTCCAAGCCCAGGACGGCTCTTTTATATGCATTAAACAAAACAGGTTCGCGTTGACACCAACGCCGGTGCTCATCGGGCGTGCAATCGCCAGAAAGTTTGAGCCAGCCCCCCACCCCCGACAGAAAGCAACTTCTTCCCCTCCCTCGCTCCCTTCGTTAAAAAGGGAAAACAAAAGAGGGAAACGCGGGGACGGCAAAGCGCGCGGAGGTAAATCCCCTTCCATTTTACAGCGTGAGAAGGCAACAAAC